TCTCTATTTTTGTTTCCCCTTATTTTTCTTTTAAATGTCATTTCTTGTCCCATGCTGGTTCTAGTCCCAAGGTTGTCCCAAGGTTAAGGACGCACTAATTATTCTTTCATGTAGCTGATTCTAAAATGTAAGCGTAAGGTGGTCACACATTCATGGTATCAAGAAAGACTGGATTCGACAAGAGGTCATATCCCTTGGTTACCAGCAAAAATATTTCTGAGTTTCTTGGCCGTAAAATATTTTTCAAAATAATTTTTGAGATGTTCCAATGCGATTTCTTTTGTTGAGTTATGTATAGTTTATGATTTAGACACCCTTTATAGTTCTCTTTGATTATAAAAGATCCTTTGGAATAGAGTCAATAGACTACCAAGAGATGGAGAAGAAAAGATTGGACTCGCATACACAAAAGAGTATAAACAATTCTTTTATTTGAAGGAAAAAAAAAACAGATTCTCCAGCTGAAGCTTGCATGGAGTTATGCTTTTTAATCTTAACAACTAGGTGAAAGTTGGAGTTATAGACATGATGTTGGAGACGAAAATGAACTGATACGAAGCTTATACATTTGCAAGTTTTAAATGCCCAAGTTGTCTGTGGAGTTCAAGTTTATCTCCATTATTCTTAAATCTACCTGGTTTTGGTTCTCATTACCATAGTATATGTAGTGTAGGCAGTACGAACTTCATTTCCAGCATGTTCTAGTGTTTAATTCTTCTTTATTCTAACAGTCTAACTTAAAATTTTCAGCTGATTTGATCTTATTTTCTCGTGGACAGAGTTTGAGACGAAAGAGGCATGTGAACAAGCATATTTTAAGGTTTAAAAAAACATGCTTAGTGCCCCATTTCCCCTTTGCCATTTGTTGAAAAGACATTTTTGTTTAATCTTATTTTTCTTTTAGAGAAACTGATGTCGGATTTGCTTTATTTGATTGTTGATGGAAGATGGACAATGCTCTGATTGATGATAGAAGGATACACGTGGATTTCAGTCAAAGTGTTGCAAAACTATGGTCCCAATACAGGCGCAAAGATTACTCAGCAGATAAAGGTGAAAAAGTAAAATATTCAATGGAGTAACTGCTTGGTTTCTTTAAGAGTAAAATTTGAGCACAAATCCTTCATGTAGTTTTATATCAAACTTTTCTTTCAGTTTTCACTTATAACCATATAATTTATGGAATAAAACTGGAAAGTTGCTTGGCCTGAACTTCTGGATTATGGGTGTAGGAAAAGGCTGCTTTAAATGTGGTGCTCCCGACCATATGGCAAAGGATTGCACCGGTGGACCACCTGCAAAGTTCATCTTGAAGGACGATAACGTCCAGCATGGTGGAGATGAATCTAGGTTCCT